CCGGGCATGCGGCTATGAGGGGGCCGCCCCCGGGGCGCAAGTGTCCCCGCCCCCTAGCGCCCAGCGGGCGAACGGCCACGCCCCCTGGCACCCGACAACCTCAAAAGGTTGGGGACCACTGACCTAGGAGGACAGGCTAAGGGATTTGGGCTTATTAAGTCTGTAGAAGAAAAGAGTGAGGGGGCATTTAATGATAGCCCTCAACTTCCTGAAGGGGGGGTTCCAAGAGGATGGAGAGAGGTTTTCTCAGTGGTGACACATGGCAGAACAAGGAGCAATGGTCTCAAGTTGCAGTGGTGGAGGTCTAGGTTGGATATTAGGAAAAACTATTTCCCTAGGAGGGTGGTGAAGCACTGGGATGGGTTCCCTAGGGAGGGGTAGAATCTCCATCCTTGGAGGTTTTTAAGTTCTGGCTTGACAAAGCCCTGGCTGGGATTGGTTCTGCCTTGGGCAGGAGGTTGGACTTGATGACCTCCTGAGGTCTCTTCCAGGCCTGTGATTCTATGAAACCTGGCAACAGCTGCAATGCGAACAACCAGTAATTGGGAGGCTGGTTTTAGCCACCAGCACGAGGGTCTCTTCTGCGTGGAACCTGAAGAACAGTTCTGTGTAAGCTAGAAAGTTTGCCTCTTTCACCAGCAGATGTCATTTTTTATTAAAGCTAACACTAAAATTATCAAATACACATCTTGGAGTGGTAGCCCAGTTAGTCTGTTACTTTAAAAACAAGGAGTAGTCCTCTACCACTTTAAGGTATGTCTAAACTGTAGCATTTTCCCAGGATAGGTCCAGTATCCCGAAATAGCATTTTCCATGTCTTTACAGCATGCTTGTTATTCTGAAATGCAATCGAAATAATGAGCATGCTATTCCGACATCCCGGTAAACCTTGTTCCATGAGGATTAAGGGACTTGTCAGAATAGCAGTCTATTTTGAATTAGACTATCTTGAAATAAGCTACGCAATTTGCATAGCTCAAATTGCATAATTTATTTTGAGATAGCACCCACTGTAGACGCACCCTTATAATCTAACAAAATATATAGTATATTTATATATATATACTATATATATTGTATATAGATGTATAGTATCATGAGCTTTACCTATGGAAAGATGTCTGTACATCTGGGTATAATGCCTCAATTGTGCAAAAGTACAAAGATTGGTTTAAAAGTCATAAAATACATATAATACACAATCAGCAGTATCCTCAATAAAAGTTAATAAATTGAATGATACTGTTTAGATATCAGCATTAGATATTTGGGTACCTGATTCATAAAAAAGTTACATTAAGAGTACCTTGTGGAAAGCAAATAGAGTAGTGAGTGTAGAATTTAGGATAGGTTGTCCCTCAGTAAATAGTCTCCCAGGAGAGCATTTTAGTTACTTTTCCGACATCGTTTCTCCAAGGCGCTCCAGCTCCTCTCTCCTAGTACTGCTAATGACCAGTAATGTGTTTTAAATAGATGGATGAGCAACATGTATCTTTAAAAACAATGAATAGTCCTGCAGCACTTTAGAGATTAACAAAACATGTAGATACTGTCATGAGCTTTCGTGAGCACAACCCACTTCTTCAGATGAATGGAGTTAAAGGGGTCCAGGATCTAAATAAACAGCAGAGAAAGAGAAGGGATGGGGAAGGAAAAGAAAGGAGGGGAAAAAATGGGAAAAGAATAGTCAATTTGATTAGTTGTTTTTAAAGTTTTTTCAATTACAGACTAACACGGCTACTTCTCTGAAACTTTTCAACATGCATCTGATGCTGCTTCCATTTAGAGCAGGGCGAGTTTATGCTGGAGAAGTGTCACGAAGCTGCTCCTCACTGACCTGTGTAAAGTTCAGTTTCCACTGCCTCTATCTTCCAAATTCCTTCCCACAGACAGCCCCTGAAACTACAGGGTTAGATATGAGGCCTGCCAGTTTAAAGTTATGCTCCAGTTTAGAGAGTTTTGCTAGAAATAGTAATAACTAAGTACATAGTTTCTGATTTCAACACACCCACTGTAAAAATGGTTCCAGCACCCTGACCAGACAGAGCAAGCTACCAATTGTTATGACCACCACTGGCAGGGATGTGAGGAAGCTGCACTTGGTAAAAGGGTAAGGATGGGGACAAATGCCTTCTTGGTGGATTTCCCCTGAGGAGACTTGAGCAAAGCTATAATTCTATATTACCAAGCCCGATGGCAGGATTGCAAAGCGAAACAATACTACAGGTTGAACAAGAGCTAAATTCTCCCCTCCCCCTTAATTCTGAGGCACCGCATGAGAAAATCTTTCCTGGCTGAGAGCGCATGGGGCTACAAATCCCAGCTTCCCACTGTTTAACCTCAATCTCCCTGCAGCAGCAACAGCTCATGAGTGACAAATGAACTGGCCAACCCGGAGCCAGAGCCCTGTTCTCTCCCCGCCAATCCCCTGCAAAAAGGCGATCAAAGCAGGAGATCAGAGAAAGGGGAGGCGGGGTGGGCAGCTCCTAGCATCATGGAAAATACAATGGCAAGCCACGCAATGACAGCAGACGCAGATCCTCTAGCTCCAGCACAAGCAAGCTGTTCCATCACCCAAGGCAGCTCTTCAATTCTGGCTCCACAAAGCCAAGAATTATCCATCTGCTAAAGTCACTCTCTGCAGTCCTTTGGAAGCAGTTTTCTCTTTGAGAGTGCAATTTGCTTCCATCCCCCAGCACACACGTACATCACCCATCCTTCGGCATTTATGCTCTTGTACCAGACGTGGTGGGGACAAGGAGATTAGACAGACAGACAGCAGCTCTCCCCGGACAAGGCCAGCAGCTACTGTGTCTGTGTGGGCTGTGGGTACTCCTCCTGCCTGGATACTGGCTCCAGGAGCTTGGCCTGGCCAACTCTCCCAGTCTGAGACGGACGACTGGAACCAGAAGGGGACTTGACTCTTCACCTGGGAGGAATTGAGTAAGTGCTGATGTCACAGTTTTCTTCAGGCAGTTTGGGGGAGGAGGCATGCAGTAGCTTGTTACATTGAAAGTAGCTGGAAGGGGGATGAATTCAGAGAAGGCCATTGTGGTTTAAAGCTGGTGTGGGAAGCAGCAGCATCTGCCCTGACTGGAAACACTGAATGCATATTGCTGTGTGAATGTGGATCACCCACCATAGAAATGCAGCTACTTCTGGGGTGGAATTGGCAGCCATCCTGTACTGGCAATACTATACAAATATTTGTAGAAGAGAAAGTGAGGAATAACACCAGCTGAACAATACAGGGGGTGTGAGCTATTTTATGTAGAGAGAATAGAAGGGATAAAGTTGGAATTTGGCCAGGATAGTGAGGTTAATATAGGCAGGAATGAGCTACCTCCCACCCATCCCCTTCATTCCAGTATGTCATATCCCTCTCAAGACTCAAACCAAGAGTGAATTTTAAAGCCTCCTCGGTCAGGAGAAGGGGAGTTCTTCAGGGAAAGGAGGCAGGGGGTGCACTGATGTCTTGATTTTATTGAGATTTGATTCATTCTATTCTCTCTGCTTCACCTGAAGCATCAGAATCTTTCTGGTTAAAAATCCTTTTATTGGGGACCCTTCTGTAGTCAAAGGATAGAGACAAAAACCAATCATATGGGCTGTGTCTAGACTACATAGCTCCATCGACGGAGCCATGTAGATTAGGGTTGTAGGCAAAGGGAAATGAAGCGGCGATTTAAATAATCGCCGCTTCATTTAAATTTACATGGCTCAGCGCGCTAGTCTGGACGCTCCCCTGCCGACATCAAAGCCCTTTGTCGGCAGCCCAGTTATTCCTCGTGGGATGAGGTTTACCGGGGCTGCCGACAAAGGGCTTTGATGTCGGCAGGGGAGCGTCCAGACTAGCGCGCTGAGCCGACAAACAGCTGATTAGCTGTTTGTCGGCTCAGCGAGGCAGCCATGTAAATTTAAATGAAGCAGCGATTATTTAAATCGACGCTTCATTTCCCTTTGCCCAATAAACAAATCTACATGGCTCTGTCGACGGAGCCTTGTAGAGTAGACGTACCCATGAAGTCCAACTGAGGTAACTCTGTGGGTGCAGGATGCTTCCTGTGTCTGAAAGTGAGGCTTAGAAGGACCCAAGAGATTTAGGTAGAAGAAGGTAGAGTGGGCGGTGACCCTTTGACATAGGTGTGACTGTCCCTCCACACCCATTGCCAGCCAGGCAGCGCTGTGCAGATGCTCTCTGCCTCAATTTCCTCTTCTGGAGTGTGTCCCCTGAGCCTTCCCCACACCGGGTGGGCTTGGTGATGTGACTTAGCCCTGTCACTGACCAAAACCTAACCCAGGTAACAACAGTCCATACGAACAAAAGGTTCTTCTGCCCCCCCCTCCCATAGGCCTTTCTCCAGCCTGCCCCTCTGGGCTTTTTTAAATCTCTCTGCAATGGAACCCTGCCTTCCTAGCTCCTTCCAGCCCCTACTTCAGGACCTTCCACAGGCACCCACTTTCCTCCCTATGGGTGCATGTGCACTGCACCTTTACCAAACTGCATAGTTCATTTTGAGGTAATTTCGAAATAAAGCGCTGTTCCGAAACATCCCTTAACCATCGTGGAACGAGGTTTACAAGGATGTTGGAAGAGCAAGGCTGTTATATTTTGAAATAATGGGTGCACTCAAAAGACACGGAATAGCTATTTCAGGATACTCCTGGTATCCCAAAAGAGCTCCGCAGTGTAGATGTAGCCTATGGTTCCTCTTCCAAAGGGCATTCTCTCCTTTTTATGATGCCAAGATGTTCATCACCTGACCCAAACTAATCCTCCCTCCTTCAGGTGGCTAATTATAGCATGATCCCATTGCCTGTGAGACAACCTCTCCTACAGCAGGTTTGAGACTCCGCAGTAACGGCTAATCCTGATGGTATTGCAATGTTAGTGACATCTTTTCTCCAGGAGGAACATCTGGCCAGGCTCTGCACAAGAGAGTCGCTTAAGGCCCCAAAGTGGTTCAGGCTCGGAAGGATTGGCTCATGGGAAAAGTCTAAAGGGATGATAATTGCCCAGGACGATAAAGCCCTGAAAACTTCTCTGCTCAGATCTCATCACCCGACTATGTCAGGCAGCTCTACAGAATTCAGTTTTCTCCTAGTCCTTGAAATGGGATGCCAGCTGCCCAAACCCCACCCTGAAAAGGCTGCAAAAGTTAGATAATCAAGCGGTCTGGGAGATGCTGGGGAGCTAGGTACCACCATCTAAGGGAGAGCCTGATATACCTCAGGACAGGACTGAGCTAATAGTAACCCCCGGGCAGTCCCTCCCCTGCTTGCTGCCTCCCATGCAGTGGGCAGAGACCTCAAGGTGAATTTTCTAAACCACGTGTAATGGAAGTTCCTGAGAGCAGAGGCTGAACGAGCAGGCAATATCGCAGTCCTGGAGCAGGGGAATGGGAGGAAGGGTAGGATGGAGGCCTGCTTAGTTGATGGCCCCTCTCACTCTTTGCAGAAAGATGGTAACTAGACTGACAAGGGGCATGCGGGAATCAGGCCATGCTGAAGAGGACGACATAGGAGGCTGGATAGCCAGGGTGGAAACCAAAAGGTTTTACTCTGAAAAACCACTTCCCATGAGGCTGCCATGACCAAATACCACTTGTTAAAGATGGTGATTGATATTGAATATACTTCTCTTGGGTGATTATTATTCTGGCTGGAACTATGAACATCCACGCGACATCCCCAAGCCCTTTAGTAAATATCACACCTTGCCCTACAGACGGGGGACTAAGCACAGAGATAATAGCACCAAAGTCATCAAACCTGCATAGCCACTGACTCTGGGGTGCCCCTTGGCTCAAGACACCCTGGGGGAAAACTAATGGTGTGTGGTTAGCACCCTGGAGCCAGAGTGCCAGTGTGGAATGTGATGAGTTCTGTGCTAACAGTGCTGCCCTGAGCTCAGGGAGGTTTTTTTATAGACAGAGGAAGGGGGTTAAGGTACCAAAAGGCTTGTCCTTACATTGCAAGTTATTAGATGATCCCGAAAGCGGCGCCACTGGCTCCAGTTAAAAGATAGGTGGCAGGGGTTGACTCATTGCTGCAGCGCCTCCTGCTGCTAGCACTGGGAATTAGTTCTTGTCAGCAGGGCTCCTCCTGGCTGGTGTCTCACCTCTCTCTCCGCTCTGACCACATTCAGACTCTGGACCGCGTCACTCCCGGACCATGGTGCCCTCTTCAGGACACTGCCCTCCAGCAGTGCCCCCTACAGTGGTCTCTCCCCCTTCCAGGGGTTAGCTGCAGTTCTTCATCTAGCACCTGCCACTGTGGCCAACAGCAGCCTCAGTGTATCCCCTCACCATAGCAGCAAGGCACAGCCCTTCCAGGCCGCACATCAGTGGTGGCCAGACACAGTGCAAGGGGGGGACCCAGGTCTGCCCACTATCTGGGTCACAACTCAGGGACCCTCTGACAGCAGCCTTGTTCTTCCACCCTCTACTCCCCTTTACTGCCTGGGCCACTTCCCCTGAGACCCTTTGCACCCTCCTGGCCCTTGTAGCAAGGTCACATCCTGGCAGGGATCACGCTGGAGCCGCGCTCTCTAACCCCTCCGAGCCTGCCCAGCGCTGCTCTCCCAACGGTGCTTCTCTGGGAACCAGGTCCTGCACCTTCCCTGGTCAGGGCCTGACTGCCTGCTCGCTGCTGGGCAGCTGCCTTTATACAAGGCTTCCCCAGCAAGCTGGACTCTGGTTGGCTTCTTAAAAGCCTCTTCCTGATTGGCTTGGGCTCTGCACAGGTTCCCGCTTGCTTGCTTTAATCCCTTCTGGCCAGTGTGGGGCAGTCTCCCCATCACGACAGGAAACAGAGTAGGTTATTTACGTGGTCCATTTTCAGAATGGAAAGATGTAGTGGTGTCCACCAAGGGGCTTGTGCTGTTCAACACACGATCTGCAAACATGGGCAAACAGTGAGGGGGCAACATTTGCAGATGATACAAAATTAAGATTGAAGTCTGCTTTGGCCTTAACTAAGAGTTACAAAGGGAACTCCCAAAACTGGATGACTTGACAACAAAATGACAGATGAAAGTCAATGTTAAATGCAAAGTAATGCACATGGCAAAATATAATCCCAAATCTATATACAAAATGATGGTGCCTAAATTAGCTGTTACCCATCAAGAAAGAGATCTTGGAGTAACTTGCAATACTCCAGAAGCCCTATGTTTCCAGAGTACTGCAGATTTATAAGAATCTTTCTCACTGTGCCTGTTTCATTCGGAACTCATTCTCCCATTTGAGAAGACTTAAAAATCATCTCCAGTCGTCAATGGGATAGACGCAACTGAATAGTGTAGCTGTCCTTACTGTGCATCAAAACAATAGCAGGGTACTAGGTGTAAATACGGTTGCTGACAGCTTCATCCAGAAAGCTACAGTAAGACAAATCTTTAAATTGGGACATTAGTGGAGACATCTTGTAACTGACTGCAGTGGTTTTAATAGACTGTAATGTCATTGTGTGATTCATAACAATTTAATAATTAAAATACCATCCAAGCCACGTCAGACACCCTTTTAGCTGAAACCACGTCAGTCTTTCATATTCTAGTTATTGAATGCATTTAACATTGAATTTCACCTGCCATTTTGTTGCCAAGTCACTCAGTTTTGTGAGATCCCCTTGCAACTCTTAGTTAAGGCCAAAGCAAACTTCAATCTTCAATCTGTGAACTGGATCAAACAGGAGGTAGTAAGTTTTGTGGAAAAGAACATTCATCAGTCAGGCAGGCTGGGTAAGAGCCCACAAGAGAGCACAGGCGAAACAGCAATGGGAGAACATAAAACTGATTTAGCACCAGTCTGAAAAGGTACAAGGTGAAAAGGGTTAGTCATGGACTTAGACTAAAATTTCCAAACATGGCAATTGATTTTGGATGCCTCAGGTTTTGGGAGCTGAGTCTGAGAATCTCATGATCTGATTTTGACATGCCCAGACCCCACTAACGTCAACTGACATTGAAAATGCGCAGCATTTCTGAAAAGTCAGCCAGTTTCCATCTCAGGTTGAGCACCCAAAAGTATTCTCTGAACCCTACCCCTCCAAATTTATATCAAATCTACCTCCTACTCAGAATCAGATGCCATTTCAGAGAACGTTGGTCATGTATCTCTAGGACTGTATCCTTGTGCGTCCGTGACTCACAAAGCGTCTACTTGTCTCTCTCAAACACAGGGAGAAGTCACAGAATCCCCTCAAAGAAGGGCCCAAAAGGAAGATGTTGCACAACCGTGCTCATAGGAGAGTCCTTGACATGAGGGGAGATCCTATGGCTTTGTAGCAGAAGTCGAGGAGACCTGAGTGGGTGGAGACACAAGTCAGGAGGAGAGGACGTAAGGCTCTTGTCCAGGATGAGTTACAGCACACCCTCTGGACGTGATTTGTACCTCAGCACCAGTACCACCTCCGAGCCAGACCCAGGGTCAGCCATGGACAGGACTGTACCAGAAACGGCTACTATTAGCCCTGGTACCACCAGCTTTAACAGCACCAAAATGCCAGATGTGGTCAGCAGCACGCCTGGCCTGGGCACAATGCTGCTCTCCTTTGGAATTATTACTGTGATTGGGTTGGCTGTAGCTATGGTAAGAGACCCAATCTACTAACCACCCTAAATACTTCTCTCTCTCTCTCATGAAGGGGGGTGTGTGTGATTTCTCAACACCAGTTGTAATCCCAGTAATTTGACTGAACCAAGAAAGAGTCATCACATTGGAGAACCGTACAAAAGTTTTGGGCACCAAAAGTCTCTGAGATCCAAAACTTGTATATCTTTGTAGCTATGGTAAGAGACCCAATCTACTAACCACCCTAAATACTTCTCTCTCTCTCTCATGAAGGGGGGTGTGTGTGATTTCTCAACACCAGTTGTAATCCCAGTAATTTGACTGAACCAAGAAAGAGTCATCACATTGGAGAACCGTACAAAAGTTTTGGGCACCAAAAGTCTCTGAGATCCAAAACTTGTATATCTTTGAAAGAAGTTAGTCTGGGAGTAGAGTGGAGGCTTCCAGCAGGAAACCAATTCTCAGC